GTCATCCCGACTTGCACTGTGGACGCGGAAGAGACAAAACAACAACTCGCACGAGGCTCATCCCTGACAATCCGCACGCCAGAGATGCAACTGGGGGGAAACACACAGCACACCGAATGCAGCAGAGCAGCCTCGGAGCGCCCGCGGGAAGGTACCCTGACGAAAGACCGCCCGACTTCTTGCTGCGCGTTCCTTCTGCAATTCGGCGAGCAGTGGACGCAACGCCTACCGCCCCCCACGAGCTCCCCCCGCTGCCGCGCCCAGCTGCCTCGGCTCATCGGTGGCCCGCCACCCCCGCAGGCCCCCCCCCCCTGCTCCAGCTCTGGACGCAGGGATGCGGCCAGAAGCACGAGGAGATGCGGGAAGCGCGCATCGAGGCATACCGGCCCGCTGGGCGTGGGCATGCGGACAGGCGCGAGCAGCTCCCCGCTGCACGCGCGCTCTCCCCGCACCCCCGCTGCGCTTCTGCCTCGCCCCCCGCGTCCGGAGCCCTGGGGGCCGTGGTCTTGCTTCCCCCGCCCCACTCTCCCCCCTTCGGCCCTCGCCGCCCCGCCCCCTCCCTCCCCTCCTCCTCCTCCCTCCTCCTCCTCCTCCTCCTCCTCCTCTCTCCTCCTCCTCCTCCTCCTCCCTCGCCCCTGCTGGTCCCCCCCCCCCCGGGGGCACACCCGCGCTCCTCCAGCGGCCGCTGAGCAGGCCGCGGGGGGGGGGGACGGGCGGGGGGGGGAAGGCCGGGACGCGACGGGCGCCTCCCGCTCGCCTCGGGCAGGGCGCCGGATGCGGCCGTGCCCAGCCCTGAGCGCACGGCGCACGGGGAGGGGGGGCCGACCAGCGGAAGGACGGCCCAGATCCTCAGAAGGCAAGCGAGGACCCTTGTCTGCAAGCAGCGCTTGGGGAATTGAGGGCGGGCTGTGAGGACGCTGGGGCGCCTCGGACGCCGACGTTGGAACTTTCGGAAGGGCGGGCTGCCAACACCCAGTGACGCAAGGGTGACCCTATGGTCAGTCGTTGGTGAGTCGGGTGGCCTTGCCCACTGCTCTGCTCTGCGTGGCCAGCCGAACATGGAATCCATGGCCAGAATTCCCCCCCTTTCCCCTCTGTCCCCCCCCCTTCCTGGCCCACTTTCCACATTCTCTCCCTCATTTCATCTGCCTGCCCTCCTCCTCCTCTTTCTCCTGCTCATGCTCCTCCGCCTCCTCATGTTCCTTCCTTGAGGAACTCATGTTTGTTTCCTAGATGCTGGGTTGAAATGCTAACCGCCAACTAATCTGGTGACGTTGACCCAACCGGCGGGGGTAGCCAATGGATGTTTCTGGCTTCCGCTAGCCCCTGACAGACGTGACCAATCCGGATGATCCTCGTTCACCTCCACTCATACCCCTCTGTGCCCAATCCCCTCTTCCTGGCCCTCTTCCACATCCTCTCCCTCCTCTTATCGGCCTGTCCTCCTCCTCCTCCTCCTCCTCCTCCTCCTCCTCCTCCTCCTCCGCGCACGCCGCCTCGGACAGTCCGATCCCTGCACTCCAGGAGGACTATGTGCGCTCACGGGCCTGCTCCTGGCCAGGCCTTTAACCCCGGCCCTCCTCCTCCTCCTCCTCCTCCTCCTCCTCCTCCTCCTCCTCCTCCTCCTCCTCCTCCTCCTCCCCCTGCTCCTCACGTTTTTCCACCACTCCTGGGCCAGGCCCCCCGGGCTCGGGCGCTCCCTGTCGCGCGGGCTTCGCCAGCGCCTGCTCCCCCAGCGGTGCCCGGGCGCGCCCGCGCGCGGGGCCCGCCCTCTGCGCACTCCAAGAAGGGGGGGGCGGAGGAGGAGTGATGTCAATGGAGCGCTCCCCCGCGTGCAGGCGAGAGCCACGAGGAGGAGGAGGAGGAGGAGGAGGAGGAGGAGGAGGAGGAGGAGGAGGAGGAGGCGGAGCGCGAGGGGAAGGGACAGCAGGAGGAAGGGGCTCCTCCTCCTCAGGAGCAGCAGGAGGAAGGCGCGCCTCCTCCTCTTCCTTATCCCCTTCCTTTGCTGATCCTTCTTCTTGTCCCTCCCTCTCTCCCTCTCCTCCGTCATCCTCACTCCTCCCCTTCTGCCCTCCCTTCTCCCCCATCCCCCCACGCGCTCCCCGAGGTGCGAGGAGGAGAAGAAGGGGCGCATGATAACGAGGGGGAAGCGAATTGAAAAGGATGCTCGATCGGGAAGGGGGGGTGAGAGTAGCCCCCCCAGCAGCTGGAAATGTTCGACTCATTATAAACTCAGAGGGGCTAGAGAATAAGGAAGACCTCAACAGGTAAGAGTGCTGCCGTTTCCTCCTCCTCCTCCTCCGCGGCGGTCCATGCTCATGATCGTACCGCCGAGGGTCGTCTCCCAATGACTCTGGTCGTGCCGCGCCTATGCGGCCCCTGCTGCCAGCAAGCAAACAAACAAACAACAGTGCCAATCGAGCTGCCATCACTGCGGCATACTGATGTCTCCATCGGGCTGGCTCAACCATCGTACGCGAAGGCCCGCGCTGATTTGTTTGTCCCGTACTGGTCTGATACCTCATGCCCCCTTCACTCCACATCGGCCTTTGTGTACTCCGAACAATCGACTAGCAATGGCAATCGATCGCATTGGGGGATGGCGCGTGAAGTGAACTGACTCGAGAGGTCTTCTTGATGGGGCGGGTGCACCAGAGACAACTTGGAATACCTGCTCAAATGCGCGCCACTACCGAGTGCATGTCATGCTTCCATTCATTGCACTAGCTGCAAAAAACATGTGCAAAGCCAATACATTGGCCTTGATGATTCTCCCGCTGCTTCCCCCCCTCCGTGCTCAACTCCTCTGTTTCCTCTTTCTCCTCCTCCTCCTCCTCTGACTTCTACGGGGAAGAGGACGTGAGGGAGGACCAGGACGAGGTAAGTAGGATTGGGTAGACGAGATTGCCTGGCAGTGGATCTCGGGCTTCCGAGAGGCTCTTGACAATACCCCTGACCACATACCACGTGCCCGCAAACGCCTCGAAGAAATGATACGCGTAGCTCGTCACTGTTTCTTCACCATCGGGCAACCCCGAGGGTCAGCGGCGAGACGCACAACACGAGGCAGAGATGAATACTGTAAACAGGCGAATACGATGATGATGACAAAACTGTAAGGCACCGCTGGAGCGGAGAATCGATGCACCTGGTCTGAAAGCCACGCATCCCCTGTCGCAAGACCCCTCCAAGACCTTCATCTCCTTTTGCCCGCGCTATGGCCCAATGAAGTCAGTGAACGTTCTGCAACCCATCCATGTTGACCAGAACATCTAGCAACCGAGGACAACGATGACTGCCACAAGGCAATGTTCTGCAATGGCGGCGTCAATCGTCACGCTTGCCTTGAGCCGTCTGCACTGCGCAGCAATCTCGTCACGCCGCTGAATGTAGTCTCTCCAGATATTTCCATTCAGTACCTGCTCTGCGGCAAATTGCACGGCCACGGCACGAGGAGACGACAGCAGCACCTCGAGATACACAAGGAGACGGCAGCAACACCTCGAGATGTTCATTGCATTGCCCATCTGCCTCGAGAAGAAACGGAATAGACACACACTTTCGGCGGCCCGCGCAGACTTCTCACCCCCTCTTGGCGCGCGGAGTCCTCTTGGCACGGTGCCGCAGAATACGCCAGGAGAGGGGGCCGTGGATCCAGGAGATCCGCACGGCTCTCCGAACGTTTCTCGGCGGTGGGCAAAACTCCCTTTAGTGAACCTCCCCATAGTAAAAACGGCCTGGGACCGAAAACGACGGACCTGGACCCGCAAAAAATGACGACCGCGACGCCCTCTCGCGAACCGAAACGGCCCATTCCTCAATCGACGTGTCAGGGTAGGAGGTCTGTCCACCGGCGGGTTTAGGAGGGTGCAGCTGCTTTCTCGTCGACATTCTCCTTTCGGCATGCTGTCGGGCCGATCCGGCCCGTAGCGCCAGGGGCGCGGCCTGCCTCCTGCAGCGAGGCCGCACCATGCACGGTCAGCAACACAATCCCAACGAAGTCCCAGGCACGACTTCCTCATTCCCCTCCTCCCCTGTCCTTCTTCCCCTGCTCGAAGCTGCCACGGATGCCCCTGCTGCAGCAGCGCCCTCACAGGGCCAGAAACGAGGGGAGCCAGAGCTCCTTCTCCTCCCTGTCGTCATCGCTCGCCCCCTCTTACCTCTAAACCGCACTCGTCCTCGCCCTCCTCCTCCTCCTCCTCCTGCTCCTCCTCCTCCTCCTCCTCCTTTCCTCCTACCCCACTCGTGGTCGCCCACGCCTGCTCCTCCTGCTCCTCCTCCTCCCGCTGCTCCTCCCCCCCTTCCTCTTCCTCCTCTGAAATCTATCTCGGGACGTCCCAGGCGGTCCACCGCGGAGGTTCCCGCAGAGCTCGGGCTCCCGGAAGCGTCCAGGGGCCCAGCGAGTCCCAAAAACACCAACAACAACTCCATCCTCGAATCTCTCTTCGGGTGTTGCTTACTGGGGGAACGATAGATGGGTGGGGAGAAGCGTACACCTTCAGTGCCTCCAGGGGGCCCCTTCAGGGTACGCAAGGTGCACCCGTCCTCACCCCCCCATTGATCGCTTCCCCATCACGCAACGCCCGGCTCCCCTCATCGACGCATGCCTCTGGTGTCGGCACCTGGACGGCCTTGACCGCCTCGAAGGACTGGGGGACGCCGCCCTTTCTGTCGCGCGTCCACTTTGGCCTGGCCCGGTGGGGGATTGCCGTTCGCAGTGGGAGGGAGGGGCGGCCGCACCAGGCGCGGCGGCCGCAGCAAGGAGGTCGAGCAGCTTCATATGCCGACTGGCTTCCCGCGGAGGAGGAGCCAGGAAGAGGGAGAGCAAGGGAGGGGAGGAGGAGGAGGAGGAGGAGGAGGAGGAGGAGGAGGAGGAGGAGGAGGAGGAGGAGGAGGAGGGACCGTAGCCATTTTGGCTCAAGCTATTCTTGATCAAGTAAAACATTTAGCAAGCCAGCTGGGCAGGACAGCTTCTTCGAGGTCAGGCCTCAGAAGACCGCCAGGTCAGGCCTGAGTTTCATTTCTGCTTCGCTCTGCCCACTGCCATTCGGCAGGTCAGAGCAACCACGTCCAGAGTCATTCTGCCGCAAGACAGAAGCCATGGCGCCCTGGAAGTGCATCTGCGGCGACAGCAGCCCGCAGGGCCACACTCACTGCGGGCGTTGCAAGCAGCACTGGCGGAAGTCCGACGCGTCGCTGCCAGCCGCCCAGAGGCGCGCGCAGCGCCCAGCGCCCGCGCCTCGAGCGCAGTTCGTGGGAAGACCACGGAGAAGTCGGCGCATCGCAGGGAGACAGAGACGTGCAGGAGGCGAGGAGGAGGAGGAGGAGGCGTGCATCATCCCAGGAAGCGAGGAGGCGAGTCGCGACATTGGAGGGAGGAGGAGGAGGAGGCGAGGAGGAGGAGGAGGCGAGGAGGAGGAGGCGAGGAGGAGGAGGAGGCGAGTCGCGCCATTGGAGGGAGGAGGAGGAGGAGGAGGCGTGCAGCATCCCAGCCGACGACGACGGGCCGCCCGCCGTGGGGGTGGCCACCCCCCTTCGAGGCGCTGCAGAGCGAAGAGTACCAGCGGCTCGAGTGGGGTGCCACGGAGGAGGAGGAGGAGGAGGAGGAGGAGGAGGAGGAGGAGGAGGAGTACTACAGGAATGTGAAGAGCAAGCTCGCGATCGTGCAGCAGCAGTACAAGGTGCAGTGGGCGATGGACGAGAATACTAGCAACACGGTTCGCCTCACTGGGGTGTACCGCAGGATGGTGATTGCGGAGAAGCCGGTGTTCGAGCAATTGGCGTGGGTCGACGCATCAATCATCGGGAGCCGCAGGAACGTCGAGCACATTCAGAAGGAGGCAGACGACGCGCGGAAGATCGCAGAGACGCCGAGGAGAGCACGATGGTTATACTCCTCCACGCCGAGGAGGAGGAGGAGAAGGAGGAGGAGGAGGATGAGGAGAAGGAGGAGGAGGAGGAGAAGGGGGAGGAGGAGGAGGAGGAGGAGGAGGAGGAGGAGGAGGAGGAGGAGGAGGATGAGGAGGGTTGGAGCACGATGGTTATACTGAGGAGTTGCCGTATGCTCAGCCCACATCGTCGCCCAGGGCCGCCCCCAATGCCAGAAACGCAGGGATATCGAGCAGGCCACGGCACACCGAGGCGACACGCATCTGCAGCGTACTCGGCATCACCACCGGTCCCCAGCTCGATTGCCAAGGAAGAAGCGATCAGGATGATCGAGCAGTCTCAGAAGCCGTTGATCGAGAACATGGTCGGCGTGCAGCAGGTGATGATCAACCACATGCGCACGCTCGTGATCCAGCAGCAGGCCGCCGCTTCGGCCGCCGCGCCAGGCAACACAGCCTCTGCTGGCCAGCCTGGTCTGGGAACGACGGCCCCTCAGGCGGAACGGCCCCCTGTTGGACGCCCGAGTTATCCGGGGTAACTCGGGTCCGGGGTAACTCGGGTTTGGATTCCCGGAAAACGAACCCGAGTTAGCCCTGACCCGAGTTACACCCCTGGGGCTCATGGGGCTCTGGATATCCGGGGTAACTCGGGTCCGGGGTAACTCGGGTTTGGATTCCCGGAAAACGAACCCGAGTTAGCCCTGACCCGATTTACCCCTGATGATTCGGGGCTCTGGACGCCCGAAATATCCGGGGTAACTCGGGTCCGGGGTAACTCGGGTTTGGATTCCCGAAAAACGAACCCGAGTTAGCCCTGACCCGAGTTACCCCTGATGATTCGGGGCTCTGACCCTGCGCCTGCTGGCCCGAGGCAGCCCGTGACGGGATGCCCGACGCCGGAGGGGCCGCCCGAGGCAGATGCAGAGGCCTCGGAGCGCAAGGACTCTGCGCCACCACGGAGCCCGCGGGCTCGCCTGCGGCCAGGCCCAGGCGTTGCGCAAGAGGGTCCGGGAGTTCACCGGGCGCAGCTCAGAGCTAGAGGAAAGAGAACTATGCACATGCACCGATTCTGGCCAGGCCCATCCTGAGCCCAGGATCGGTGCATACGCCCTCCTACCCTGGCCAGGAATGCATATGCACCGATCTTGGATCAAGGATGGGCTTTTCCCAGGATCGGTGCATGTGCATAGTTCTCTTCGCCCGAAGAGCGTGGCAACAATCCGTACGAGACGCCGAGGTCTGGGCGCCGAGCGGAGTCAGCAAACATGATTCGTTCATCACCAGCGGCTGCTTCACAGGTGTTCGGAGGGGCGAGGTCGAGGTCGCAGGCTCCAGTGACAAGAGAGGGATCGCAAAGCTGTGGGGACAGCATCAGCTGGACCGAGCGGCCGCGGCAAGTCGGACAAGGGCGGGTCGCTTTTTCAGCCCATGAGGCCCTTTCACCCGGGGGGAAAACAGCGGAGCTGCATGGCGGCTCGAGCCGGCCTGCCTCCAGCCCAGACTCAGGCCATCATGCACATACGCAGCAAGATCGCACGTTGTTTGACAGCATGGGAGTCTGGCACTTAAGATCAGTTCTTGAGAATGCTCTCACGACCCCTCTCATCCTCCGATTGGCCGGTTGATTAGACATCGGCCCCGAAGCCTAGGATAGAGAGAACACTTGCTCACCAGCCCCAATCTCTCCCTACGAAGCTTTCTTCGGTGAAGTGGTCCAGGGTCAGCCCGAGAGTAGAAGCAACCCAAGGGATGTTGAGGATGATTGCTTCACTCGAAACCACCCTGAAGTCCTTGAGGGTATGGTTTCTCGCCGTGTTGGGAAACCCGTAGGGCTGATCCAGTCTCTTCAAGGAAAAAGTGTCACTATTTCTGCAAATTTGCAACTCGATATCGAAATGCACCTAGCAGCTGAGACGCATTAGAGACATGCCTATGGGCGTGCAAGAAAAAGTCAGGGGTGGATTGTGTACAGGTATATACACAACTGCATCAAAGGAAACATCGAGCCCAGAGGAACCTAGCCGGGCCGCTGTTGCTGCTTTCGTCGACAATGATGGAAACATCTCGTTTCAGGAAGCCATGTATGGTAGAGTCAGGGGGTCATTGGCCTTCGACCCTATACTGAAAGCTCATGACAGTACAACTCATGAGACTGTTGCCATCATATGGGCAGGGTTGCGTGAGTCTGAAGACGTAGTGATTGTTTGAGATTAACAAAACGCTCTCAACATCATGCGTGGGGATGCCCTCTCTCACACCAACCCTGAATTAGGCAGTTTGGCCCACCAGCTTTACCGAGAATTGTTGGCACTGCGGATGTTGCCTCACATGACTGCATGCCTTGGAACGAGCTAGCAGACTCCATTACCAAGGCTGCCCGTTCAGGTCTCGCCAGGAATAGTCCAGTCCCTCATGAGGCCATCGCAGAGCTTTCGCTTCTGGGGGGCACAGACTGGAGTTGGCTACATCACGCCGACGATTCGACTAGGAGAGCGCACCCCGAGTTGAGCGGAGATACTTTCCCCAGCTCGGAGAGTTGGGGGGGGAACCAGCAGGGTTCAGCAGAGGGGAGTTAAGGGGAACGGAAGCGAGCTGCAATATCAACTGCGCACTGCCACGTGCAATGCCTCTTCCATGTTTGAGAACACTGCGTTCCGCCAGAGCCGTGCTCAGCACCTTAGACTTCAAATGCAGCAGCACGGAATGTCAATCCTTGGGGTCCAAGAGGCTAGAACTGAAGCTAGATCTTATGGGGATGACTTCTGCGTGGTTTTCTCAGGGGGGCTCTGGAGGCAATCTGGGTTGCGAGCTTTGGATCTCGAAAAGCCGCCCTTACGCCACTAGGGATGGGCACTAGTTTTGTTTTCAGATAGACCACTTGCAAGTGGTCCATGCTACCACCAGAATCCTGATCGTCCGAGTTCGTGCGCCTCATCTCGACATCACTGTCGGAGTGTGCCACTTTCCTCACTCAGCGGCCTCTGATCAGACCAGGTCGCTAGCAAGTGGCGGCCAGACTTTTGGTGTGCGGATGTCAATGGTCGCCTTGGTTCGGTTGAGTCCAACTCGGCCGGATGTGACGGATGGACGCAGGAAGACGACTCTAACGGCAACGAGCTTCACGGTTTTGCAGCGGCAGAGGAACTCGTTGTCGTTAACACATCCAGAGATGGAGCCGGCGATGTTTCGCTTGGGTCAGTGTTCATGGGTATCGACACCGCGTTGACTATGAGTTAGCAGGTGCCCAGAATGTATCCAGGAGCATGGAGTATGGTACGACGACGATTTCACGACGGCTTCGAAAGGGAACGCGAAAGGATGTAACAATGCTGGGGAAGGTGGGGATGAGAAGGAGAAGGAGGATCACTTCCCGGTGTTCATATGGCTCTGTTGGAAGGCCTGCCCAGGATGTAAGAAACAGGGGGGCGGGCATGGACGCGATAGGGTCAAGGCGAGACATCGCACAGCAGGCAGCATTCGCCGAGCAATTGCAGAGCATCCCGTTGCCTGAATGGAGGATGTGGAGGAACAGACATGAACAGACATGGGGGCTGCAGTCAGCATTGCTCGAAGCAGCCCGCGAGTATTTTCCCATCTCGCCTCAGCGTGCTCGCGCGTGCGCCAGGGCCCATCCAGGCACGGCCCGCTGACATGTCGTCGAGCTGCGGTCGGCGGCCTCGTCTACGGCAGCGGGGCGCGTGGCTCGAGGAGGACGCCGCGTTCTACATCCACTGCGTGGCGGTGGCCGCGGGGCGCTCTTACCTGATCGTGGAGCCGCTGGTCTTGGCGTCGCGGCCTGCG